CCCCTGCCTCGTGGGCCCCCTGGTGCTCCACCAACCTCAATTCCAACTCCATATATTCACGTGTGGGGAGAAAAAATCAGGGATAAATATTCATCGCGTTTTACGATACGAAGCCGCCGCCAAGCCCTAATCTCTCTCAGGAGGGCTGATCTGGAGTCCGTTCGGGGCTCCGGAGAGGGGAATCCGTCGCCATCGTCATCATCAACCTTCCTCCATCACCAATTTCATGATGCTCACCGTCGTGCGTGAGTAATTCCATCGTAGGCTTGCTGGATGGTGATGAGTTGGATGAGATTTATCATGTAATTGAGTTAGTTTTGTTAGGGTTTGATCCCTAGTATCCATTATGTTCTGAGATTGATGTTGTTATGACTTTGCTATGCTTAATGCTTGTCACTAGGGCTCGAGTGCCATGATTTCAGATCTGAACATATTATGTTTTTATGATTATATGTGAGTTCTTGATCCTATCTTGCAACTCTATAGTCACCTATTATGTGTTATGATCCGTTAACCCCGTAGTGACAATAATCGGGATACTTACCGGTGATGACCGTAGTTTGAGGAGTTCATGTATTCACTAAGTGTTAATGCTTTGGTCCGGTACTCTATTAAAAGGAGGTCTTAATATCCCTTAGTTTCCAATAGGACCCCGCTGCCACGGGAGGGTAGGACAAAAGATGGCATGCAAGTTCTTTTCCATAAGCACGTATGACTATATTCGGAATACATGCCTACATTACATTGATGAACTGGAGCTAGTTCTGTGTCACCCTAGGTTATAACTGTTGCATGAGGAATCGCATCCGACATAATTATCCATCAATGATCCATTGCCTACGAGCTTTTCACATATTGATCTTTGCTTATTTACTTTTCCGTTGCTATGTTACAATCACTTCAAAACCAATACTATTACTATTGCAACCGTTACCATTACTTCCATATTACTTTGCTACTAAATACTTTGCTGCAGATATTAAGTCTTTCAGGTGCGGTTGAATTGACAGCTCAACTGTTAATAATTGAGAATATTCGTTGGCTCGACTTGTGTCGAATCGATAAATTTGGGTTGAATACTCTACCCTCAAAAACTGTTGCGATCCTCTATACTTGTGGGTTATCAGTCAGCACGACGGCGTGGTGACGGTGATGATGAAGTTACTGGTGCAGGGCTTCGCCTAAGCACTGCAACAATATGACCGAGGTGTGTTTCTGTGGAGGGGGGCACCACACACGGCTAAGAGAAACTTTTGTGTGTCTTTCGGGTGCCCCCACTCTCACGTATATAAAGGGGAGGGAGGGAGGAGGAGGCCGACCAAGGGGAGGAGGCGCGCCATGGGGGGCAATCCTACTCCAAGTAGGATTCGCGCCCCCCCCCCCCTTTCCTATTCCAACAAGGAAAAAGGGGAAGGTTAGGGAGAAGAGAAGGAAAGGGGGGCCGACCCCCCCCCCTAGTCCAATTCGGTTTGGGCTAGGGGGGCGTGCGCCCTGCCTTGGCCTGCCTCCTCTCTTCCACCAATAGGCCCATGAGGCCCAATAACCCCCCGGGGGGTTCCGGTAACCCCCCGGTACTCCCAAAAATACCCGTTACACCTCGGAGCTGTTCCGTTGTCCGAATATAGTCTTCCAATATATCAGTCTTTATGTCTCGACCATTTCGAGACTCCTCGTCATGTCCGTGATCTCATTCGGTACATCAAAACACATAAACTCATAATACCAATCGTCATCAAACGTTAAGCGTGCGGACCCTACGGGTTCGAGAACTATGTAGACATGACCGAGACTCATCTCTGGTCAATAACCAATAGCGGAACCTGGATGCTCATATTGGCTCCTACATATTCTACGAAGATCTTTATCGGTCAAACCGCATAACAACATACGTTGTTCCCTTTGTCATCGGTTTCTTACTTTCCCGAGATTTGATCATCAGTATCACGATACCTAGTTTAATCTCGTTACCGGCAAGTCTATTTACTCGTTCCATAATGCAGCATCCCGCAACTAACTCTTTAGTCACATTGCTTGCAAGGCTCATAGTGATGTGCATTTTCGAGAGGGCCCAGAGATACATCTCCGATACACGGAGTGACAAATCCTAATCTTGATCCGTGCCAACTCAACAAACACCATTGGAGACACCTGTAGAGCATCTTTATAATCACCCAGTTACATTGTGACGTTTGATAGCACACAAGGTGTTCCTCCGGTATTCGTGAGTTGCATAATCTCATAGTCATAGGAACATGTATAAGTCATGAAGAAAGCAATAGCAATAAACTAAACGATCATAGTGCTAAGCTAACGGATGGGTCTAGTCCATCACATCATTCTCTAATGATGTGATCCCGTTCATCAAATGACAACACATGTCTATGGCTAGGAAACTTAACCATCTTTGATTAACGAGCTAGTCTGGTAGAGGCATACTAGGGACACTTTGTTTGTCTATGTATTCACACATGTACTAAGTTTCCAGTTAATACAATTCTAGCATGAATAATAAACATTTATCATGATATAAGGAAATATAAATAACAACTTTATTATTGCTTCTAGGGTATATTTCCTTCCTGCTGACCATGCACCATCGTCATGGTGCGACACACCATCCACACTTCCTTCCAGATGAGAGTGTGGTCGGGGCACAGCTCCAACAGTATCCTCGGCGGCCGTCCTATGGGAGTCGGTGAGCACGGTCTGGAGGAGGGGATCCTTGCATCACATGTCATGGTCTGTGATGCCGACCATCATGTCAGGATTGTCCTCGTCGTCGACATGCTCCAACGCGCACTGAGCGTCGTCGTCCTCCTTGATAGCGGCGGTCAACACCACGGTCGTCTTGCGTGCTTGTTATATGTCTTATTAGCTCGACCTAGTTTGGCCTTGGGCAAGGCGACATGGTGAGGGGGAGTAGTAGAGGGGAGTTAAGGAGTCGAAGAAGTTGACTAGCTGGAGAGTAGGTGTAGAAGTGAATAAAGACGGAGAGGCGCCTTCATTTTTATAGTCGTGACAGCCATTAATGGGTGTGCCTTTTCTGGTGGAAAAAGTAGCAGTGGATTGGTCGAGCGAGTGTGCCATTGACAGAAGAAGGAATAGAGAGGAATAAAACATGTGAAACTTCCCTCCCACGCAAATGGCTTGGTATGGAGTATGCTCCAAAACAACGCCCCCAACCTCCAAATAGGGAGCCTATAATGCGAAAATACATAGTAACACTCGGGTGCCACAATCCCCCATGCTCAAAAATAATTTAATAATTTAAAAAAGGTTAAAAATCATTATGAAATCAAACATGACCAAGTGTTGCACTTGTATAAAAATATTAAATATGGACTTTCATTGTATCTGGGGTCAAATATTTGCAAAGCACTAGATACAAGTACTATCCATGCTATCATCATAAATTTGTTTGTTTTTTTTGCCTTGAAGTTAACGGGAATCATTCCTTGGCCAAATTTTTAATACGAGCATAATACCTGGTCATATTTGATTCCATAAAAATTCTGAGATTTTTTAACATTTTCTTGAATTACTAACTTATTTTTTAATATAAGTTCAAAAATATATACGTATTTTTGAATATAGGGTGTGGAGCAACCAAGTGCTCCTAATCCGCCTCCGCCTATAACGTTGTTAGGCTCTTGGCCATAATAGTAATTATTTTGGAGATTGGTTTATTTTGACCATTCTACTGGAGTTACTTGAACGGTCCAACCTCATAGCGATCAGAGAGTCGTTGGACGCATCGCGGCATCAGATCATGTGTACCCTTCCTCTGTGTTTACAAACTAGACTGCCCAAAGTGCCTACAAGATGATAAACCAACACAAGCTCCTGCCTACAAGATGATATTGTACTTGTACAGGCAACCTTTGTATACAGAAATTAAAGAGGCTCACTTTCTTGTTAACGAGGCGCACTTTCTTGTTATTCCTGAAAGAGGAGATAGGATTCAGCACAGCTTTTCCAACCTTTGTATGCAGAAATTACAGCGGCAACAAAAGAAATTACCAATCTAGGGGAGACACGCGTGCACACTGACACTAGTCTAACATCCTTTTGCAGATTTAGAAGGCAAGAAACACCCAGAGATTTCCAGGTAAAGAAACGCCTATAGACTGAATGCCGAATGGCTTGGAGGTAAACCACGGGATAATTATTTAGATAACCTCAAACTTGTCGACAGCCTTAATGCCAAACAAAGAAGCAACGAGAACATGGACTGGGGGCTCAGACCAGCGATATTAGAAACAAAGAAAATAGCAGATGATATTCACTAATTTGGCCGAGGAAACACATGAGGCAGTACCGGCGCGCCACTTGCATTCCTAAGCTCAATGTAGTAATGCTAAAAAAAAAATGAAACTCCATGGGCACTAGCACCCACGGTTTTATTGATATAGAAGAAGCATCCCTCATGAGAATTCCAGAAATTCGTCCCCGACGTGGATCGAACTCTGGTCGTTAGGTTTACAATCATGCGCCCCCAACCACTGGGCTATGCCCACGTCCTCAATGTAGTAATGCTAATCATTGCCCTGTTTGCCCACTCTTACATATGTTGTCTAATCTAGCACAAGATTTTCTATCCTGCTTCAGGACATCAAAAAACTTACCTATTTATAATCTATATCCCGAGAACAGCATTTTGGCATGTTTAATCTTGTTTTCATTCTTATAGATGAGACCATCGTAGCATTGCTTGCGCATGTAAGCCATCTGGGTATCAAATGTTCAACAAAGGTTGCAAGGAAATTTTGACAGAAGATTAAGACCAAGTGTTACACGGTTGCAGACAAGCGTTCTGGATAAAATGAACCTGATAAATAAATATTCTGGGATGATTTAGGAGAACATTCACACCATTCACATCACTTGAGAATTAACCTAACTATTCTTAGATCCATCATCCATCTAACATTGAGTAGAAATGTAATAAATACTAATCACAAACAGTTCATATGATTTAACAAATCTACCAATGTAGCTGCTCATGCTTTACGAAGCTTTCTTCTATTCTCCAGTGCATCCACTATGAGAGATGGGCAAGTCATTTTGAGATCTTTGAAGCCTTGGGTTGCCACCACGGCGTCCATAGCGTTATCATCTGATATTTTGATAAATTCAAGGCAAGCGTCCTTAAGCTTATCACAGTTATATTGGTCAGCTAAAGCCAATGTGGTTGCCACGGTGTCCACACTCAGATCCTCACAAAGGATGCTTTGGCAAACCATCTTGAGCCTCTCCATGGCATATCTGTCCGCAGCCACCAGTAATAGCCGGATTATCTCAATATTCTCTTCTCCCTCGAAGTCCTCATGGCCAGGCAAAGAATCGGTATAGATGAAATGGAGCAGGGCCCTGAAGATGGATGGCTGCATATCCTTGACGGTAATGCACTGCCCCGCCCTCGCCTCCCTCATTGGCCCGTAGAGCTCCGCTTTAAGAACAGGCGACCGCATAGCGAGAACGAGCCTATGCGCTTCAATGGTCTCTCCTCCAACAATGAAACTGACATCCAATCCCTCCTTTTCTTCCAGCAGCTTGCCAACATGCTTAGCCATGTCAGATGGTGGTCTGTCTATTTTGGGTGGCGATTTGGCTTCGGTGGTTTTGGTAACACGTGGCTTCTCGAAAACAGTGACAATACATTCAATCATCAGGCGATCATCCTTAAGGTATGCGGATCCCTCGATCTCGCTTCGCTTTTTGAACTGAGCAGTCCCCGGAGCAAACCGACTGGAATCGTCGGAATTGAAAATCCTAGGCCCTGTTTTGATCACGGAAGACCGTAATCCGGTGCACTGGTCGACCAGCCTTAGGTCACAAGAGGCCCGGACTTTAGTGCTCTTGCTCATAAGCTGGAGAAAAATTGTGATGTAATCTCGATTCTCGCTTTTATACCCATCAGGATAGAAGCGGATCGCCCAGTTGTGGCCGCCGACAGCGAAAACCCCTGATTGTATGTAGCTACCGGGGTCTTGCCCCATGCCCATGTGCTTGCTGTAACCCAAGATGTCGAACACATGCGTGCCTTCAGCCGCCTCCGGTGAGCACGTCGACAACGTCATGCATGCCCCCATCTTGGTGAGAGGTGACCAGGAGGAAACGGTGGCCGGAGAAGAAAGAATCGTCGGGACTCGGGACAGCGGCGCCGCGTGCTAATCTGATGGTTTGAAAGAAGAAGAAGAGGGCATTAATACCCAGCGGGAAGCAGAGAGAAAGAGAGGGCCAGGATACGGGGGAGTGGCGCGAACCTTCAGAACTCAGGTGGTGACCGGTGATGGCGCGGTGGCGGCGGTATCGCGGACGGAGAGAAAGCCGCCTCGACTTGCCCTTGCGTTTTTGGCGAGGAGACCTCGGCGTTGCTGCGCCTGGTCGCCCCTCACGATTATATATACTACTAGTCCTAATCGATGACTACTCTGAGACCTACACGCACACGTACACATGTATTTGAACCGGACAAAACATATGCACTTCGTGTTTAACTCTAATAACAGTGTCCTTGTCCTCCGGTTCCTCCAAGAGGCAAGAGCCAGGCCCGCTGCACCTCGTTGACGTGGAGCTGGCAGCTCTCGCGGTCGACCATGTTGGTGCTATGTACGGACGCGAGCACGCTTAGTTCTTGTTGACGATCTTCGGGTCCGTGAGTGGCGCTGTGACATTCATCTTCTCCGCCTCCATTTGCACCAAGGCCGCACGGTGCTCCGAGTAGCGCAAGGCGAACTTGTTCCTCTGCCTCCGCAATGGAGAAGAGCCCGCCTGCCCTACCGGTCGGAGCCACAGCCTCAGTGACCATCGCCTCCCCTCTCCTCCATGGGCGACTCCTTCCCCGTGAGCGCCATCTCCTCCTGGACCTCCGCCATCGGCATGGGGTCGCTGCCCTCCTCCTTCACCTCCTCCTCCGAGCTCGGCGCGGGAGAACTTGAACGTTGGCCCACCTCAATGCTGCCTGGCGATACGGTGTCCGCTGCCGTCATTTTGACGTCAGCATCTTATACCAAGTGATCTTGAAGTGGACCATGGCGACCGCGGCGAGCGAGAAGGTGGATGTGGAAGAGGACGGCTCATGGCGGTGGCGCGGATGGGTGGAAGTGAGAGAAGTGCAAGATGTTGCAAGGGTTTGAGGGGTCATCGGCCGGCCTTTAGAGCAGCTCCAACGGGTGACCCATTTCGTCTACGGCTGTTTGTTTGGATCGGCATGGACACAAAAGTCGGCCCAATGCGTTGACCCAAACGGACGCGCGTTCGCTTTTCGTCCGCGAGCGATCCATTCTCAGCTCATTTTGAGCCGTATTTGAGTCGGCGCGGACACGAGAAGGACGCGCGCGCGCTTTCTTCTCCCCCTGGCCCGCTGGTCAGTGGCACATTGGTCTCTCCCAATCTCACACCAAACCCTCGCCCGCCTCCATCGTCGCCAACGCCGCCGTCCATTTTTTCAGTGACTCTGCCACCCTCTGCAACGCCGCCACCTCCCACGTCGCCCATCACCATCGTCTTGCCACCGGGCAACCGAAAGCTCTCCACCCCCGCTTCCCTGACACAGCCGCGACCACGAAGCCACCTGGCGTCCCCGGCCAGATCCTCACCGGCACGCTCGTCGGACGCCGGCAGGGTAGCTAGCTGGTCCGTGCGCGCCGCGACTCCCTTCGCTGGCCGTCTTCTTCGTCGACGCCCGCAAGTTGTTCTACAGTTTGCCAAGGTACAAAATGAACTCCGCCGACGAGTTCTTTTTCACAATTTCCTTTGCGACTCCAACGATTCGTCGTCCGATGACGAGGAGGAGATATTGGCTGCCGTATTGGTCCATCACCACCTCAATAGCTAGCGCCCGCCATTCCATGGCTCCATTCCGGGTCACCTTTCGGCGTTGAATCGCAACCGGGAGAGCGGACATTTTCTTCTTTGGAAGGACTACTTTGACACAACAAATCCGTTGTTCAAACATCAGAAATTCCGCCGCCGTTTCCGTACGAGTAGGCATCTTTTCAACCGTATTAGAGAGGGGGTGGTCGGCTATAATGACTATTTCGAGTGCAAAGAGGATGTCGTTGGAAAGATTGTTTTCTCCTCTTATCAGAAATGCATTGCCGCCATCCGAATGCTTGCATACGGAGTGCCCGGTGATCTCATTGACGAGTACGTCCGTATGAGCGAGTCTACATGCCTAGACTCCCTGTATAAGTAATGCAAGGCAGTTATTGCTGAGTTTGGCCCTGAGTACTTGAGAGAGCCGACTCCTGAAGATACAGCCCGTTTGTTGGCGATGAATGCCAGCAGGGGCTTCCCAGGGATGCTTGGCAGCATAGACTGCATGCACTGGAAGTGGAATAACTACCCTTCTGCTTGGCAAAGGCACTATAAGGGCCATGTCAGGGCTTGCACTGTCATGCTAGAGGACGTGGCGTCTCAAGATCTCTGGATCTGGCACTCTTTTCTTGGCATGGCCGGATCACACAATGATATCAACGTGCTTCAGCGCTCGCCGGTGTTTGCTAGGCTTGCCGAAGGCAACAGCCCACCGATGAACTTTACTATCAATGGCCACAACTATGACAAAGGATCCTACCTGGGTGACAGTATCTATCCTCAGTGAATTTCCACCTCTTGAGCATTGCGTTGGTTTTTCCTTAAAGAGGAAAGGGTGATGCAGCAAAGTAGCGTAAGTATTTTCCTCAGTTTTTCAAAACCAAGGTATCAATCCAGTAGGAGACTACACGCAAGTCCCTCGTACCTGCACAAACAAATAAGAACCTTGCAACCAACGCGATAAAGGGGTTGTCAATCCCTTCACGGTCACTTACGAGAGTGAGATCTGATAGAGATAATAAGATAAATAAATATTTTTGTATTTTTATGATATATATTGAAAGTAAAGATTGCGAAATAAAATAGATTGGAAACTTATATGATAAAAGATAGACCCGGGGACCATAGGTTTCACTAGTGGCTTCTCTCAAGATAGAATAAGTATTACGGTGGGTGAACGAATTATTGTCGAGCAATTGATAGAAAAGTGCATAATTATGAGAATATCTAGGCATGATCATGTAAATAGGTATCACATCCGCGACAAGTAGACCGAAACGATTCTGCATCTACAACTATTACTCCACACATCGACCACTATCCAGTATGCATCTAGAGTATTAAGTTTATAAAAACAGAGTAACGCATTAGGCAAGATGTCATGATGTAGAGGGATAAACTCAAGCAATATGATACAAACCCCATCTTTTTATCCTCGATGGCAACAATACAATACGTGCCTTGCTGCCCCTGCTGTCACTGAGAAAGGACACCGCAAGATTGAACCCAAAGCTAAGCACTTCTCCCATTGCAAGAAAGATCAATCTAGTAGGCCAAACCAAACTGGTAATTCGAAGAGACTTGCATAGATAACCAATCATACATAAAAGATTCTAGACAAGAATCAAATATTGTTCATAGATACACTTGATCATAAACCCACAATTCATCGGATCTCGACAAACACACCGCAAAAAGAGTTACATTGAATAGATCTCCAAGAAGATCCAGGAGAACTTTGTATTGAGATCCAAAGAGAGAGAAGAAGCCATCTAGCTAATAACTGTGGACCCGAAGGTCTGTGGTAAACTACTCACACATCATCGGAGAGGCTATGGGTTTGATGTAGAAGCCCTCCGTGATCGATTCCTCCTCTGGTGGAGCTCCAGAAAAGGCCCCAAGATGGGATCTCTTGGGTACAGAAGGTTGCGGCGGTGGAAATAGGGTTTCGTGGTGCTCCTGGATGTTTTCGGGGTATATGAACATATATAGGACGAAGAAGTAGGTTGGTAGAGCCACGAGGGGTCCACGAGGGTGGGGGCGTGCCCGGGGGGCAGGCGTGCCTCCCTGCCTCGTGGCCTCCTCGTTGATTTCTTGATATCCACTCCAAGTCCTCTAACTATTAGAAAAAAGGTTGTTAGTGGCACACCAGTTTTTGCTATTAATGGCGTACATATGGATCAACGTGTTGGACGCACTGACGACTCAAATCTAAAACGGGGCGGATGCCGGGTGGGCAGCCGACCCAAACGGACAAAAAGCAGACCAAACGCATCTGTTTGGGTCGATACATTGGAGTTGCTCTTATAGTCAAGATAGGCGCCTTTGTCAGCTCGTTGGCTGCCTAGCCATGAATTTGGGCAGGCAGATAGCCGATGAGCCCGTGTGAATGCAGTGACGGTTCGAGAGCCGTCCAAGGTTCTAGATAGGACGTGTGTGTCGAAGTTTCACATGGCGGCCATCCGAGTATTTAACCAAAAACTACCACAATTGACGAAAACGTGACGAAAAACTACCACTCTACGATTTTGTGCCAAAAACTATCAAATTTGTCCTAAACCATGACCAAAAACTACCAAGTCGCGAAATCGTTTGCTTCGGCCGCGCTAACCCCGAACCTGACCGGTTGGGCTCGCGAATCAGTAGCCACACTGGCCAACGGACATCCGCCACACGGTGACGGCCTTTAATGCCCCGTCCGCTGTCTGAACGGCGGCTGTCGGTGGGCCAATAAGTGAGAGCGAGCTCAGCCACTCGCTCATTCTCTTCCTCCTCGCTCGCTCTCACTCGTCCTCATCCTCTCCCTCTCCCTGGTGCTTTGAGCTAGGTCAGCCTATCACCGTCGCCGCCGCGACCATTGCTGCCGGTAGAAGTTGAGGATGCCATCCTGGAATGACGAGGAGAGCTCGGACGAGGACATCAACATGGTTTCAATGGATCCTCAGCTCTTTGTAAGTGCATAATGGTGGAACAGAGTTAGGGTTAGGTTTAGTTCATCCAAATTGGAGATTCCAAGTTGGTTTTGGTTTGATTCGAACTTTCTTTTGCAGGAAACCCCTGACAGTGTGGTGGAACCATCTTTCCGTGGTTCTTACACTGAATCTGAGCCGACGTGCATGATGCATCATCAGAGGCCGAAGAAGATGGTGACTTTTGAAGGTGCTTTTGACTGGGAGGTGATTCCTGGGTTGTCCTGTGCAGCAGGTATTAAATTTTGCACGCTAACTTGTTTTGCTGGTGGAGATGTGTAATGTGTTTTGCTGCTGGAGAT